TCACTGCAAGCTCCGCCTCCCGGGTTCCCGCCATTCTCCTGCCTCAGCCTCCTGAGTAGCTGGGACTACAGGTACAGGTGCCCGCCACCACGCCCAGCTAGTTTTTTGTATTTTTAGTAGAGACGAGGTTTCACCGTGTTAGCCAGGATGGTCTCGATCTCCTGACCTCGTGATCTGCCTCCCAAAGTGCTGGGATTACAGGCATGAGCCACCGTGCCTGGCCTATGTTTTACCTTTTCAGTGGTTCCAGAATACTTCATTTAGAATGTTGCGTATTGGCTTTGACACATTTAATTTTTTAAAAAGTTAATAAATTATATTAGATCAGGGAGAGGAAAATAAGTCCAAATATTTAGGTAAACATAGTAATATATATATATATTTGGAAGAGAAATTTTGTTTTACTTATTTGCTGATGTAAAAGAAGGGGATATTTAAAAGTTACAAGTAACATTCTTCCATTTAATGACTGAATCAGTGCAGCTAGGTAATTAATATTTTTGACAAATCCAGTCAGTTTGCCCTTGATGTTTATGTTCAGGAAATAATTAAGGTGCTTTCCCAAGTTGTGAGTGACTAGAGCCACCCCCTCCAAGGATGTAACCTCTGCCCTGATTCTGTTACCAGAACTTCTTTCTGTTTCCCTGAGCAAAATAAATCGGGCCTGACTCATTGTATCTACTCAGCCTCCTTACCCTGTTCCCTGTCACTCTTACCTCCCCGTTCTCTCCCTTCTCTCTCTCTGGGGTTGCTGGCACCTAGAGTACAGGCTCCATCTGAGGTCCTGCAGCTCCCCGTTCCTGTGACAGTGCAGTGCCTGTCCCCGTTTAGAGCCCAGGACTCTGATCCTGTGCTTAAGATGGGGGAAGCCTAGGATGCGTATGGAGAGCATGGGTCTTCAGTGCTGCTGCTGAGTGAAGCTTGTGACAAGGTGCATGTAGAGACCGAGAAGTGCTGTGCCCTGAGCCGTTAGTGTGTCTGTTAATGGGAAGAAGACTCCAAGTCTTCCACGCTGCGTGAGAGGCACGGCTTTGCCGTCTACAGGAGTTGTAAGAGAAATGTGAAACTGGGACTTGACTCTGAGGGACCATTTCTGGGTTAAAAACCTAGCTTCGAACCTAAAACACTGTCACATCAGACCAAAAGAAAGGTAGAAGGGTTAGGAAGAGATGGATGCAGAAGAGGATGCATACATAGAATTTAGGCTACATATGCTAACTGAGCCCCTATTTTACTATATTTCAGCTAGTAGACAGAATGGTTAAAAACTGGGAATTGGAGGACTGAGCTGGAGAAATTTGCATTCTTATTCCTTGTGTGATCTCTATAGTCATCGGTTACTGTAAACTGCGTGCTTGGGCAGTGTTTTATATACTTTAATTGTATATACTTAAGCCGTAAAACAACATAGTAAGGTGAGAATTATTATATATATGGCAAGGAGGAAACAGGCCCAGAGATTCTCATGCCCAGAGTCACATAGCTAGCAACAAATGCAGTTGGGATCTGAACCCAGGTCCCTCTGACTCTCACAGCTGCTCTGTTGCTCTGTTATCCTTTGTTCTGTCCTGTGCTGCTTCCTGTGTTTCATAAACCTGTTTCCTCATGTGTAAAGTAGGAACAGATATACTTAGCATCTCAGGGTTGTTACAGGAATATAGCAGGCTGGGCGCGGTGGCTCAAGCCTGTAATCCCAGCACTTTGGGAGGCCGAGATGGGCGGATCACGAGGTCAGGAGATCGAGATCATCCTGGCTAACAGGGTGAAATCCCGTCTCTACTAAAAAAAAGTACAAAAAACTAGCCGGGCGAGGTGGCAGGCGCCTGTAGTCCCAGCTACTCGGGAGGCTGAGGCAGGAGAATCGCTTTAATCCAGGAGGTGGAGGTTGCAGTGAGCTGAGATTGCACCACTGCACTCCTGCCTGGGTGACAGAG